CTTTCTCTCCGAGATACCTCTCTCTTTTCCCGTTGCCTCTGTCCCACAGTGAAGGACATCAGCAAACAGCCACGCATCTGTCGGCCGTATTTCAATGCTTCCATCACCGTGTCATCCAGGCACCTCCAGTGCCTAGCATCTGCGCGGCTCTCTGCAATTGCTGGCTGAAGCAGGCAGACGGTTCGGCTGCGAGGGTCCCCATGCGGGTGCTGTGCTCCTGGCGGTGGCTTGGCTGCTTCCCCTGGGGATGGGTGTCACTAAGGGACCTCTTTGCGAAGGCACCGGTCGAAGGCTTCAGTCAGTAGTGTGTTCACTGTTGGGTATTACCAACAGCTATTCTGGTTTTCCTAAACTTCCTCCAGTCTCAGGGCATCTTGACTCTAAAAGACTTGTTAATAAAACAATGTATTCCCAGTGTAGGTTGGGATCCTGCTTCAGAGACAGTGCATGCTCAGATGCGGTCTTACATCTAGAATAAAATACAAGCCTACGTCAGCCACTGTGGATGGAAAGAAATACGTTTTAGCATCATTTTCCAAGCTTCTCAGCATGCCACCCTGCTGCCCCAACCATACATTTTAATGTATAGTACATGCTTGTTTGAAAAAGAAATACATAAGGAGAAAGAGTAATTACCGTAGCTTAAATTCAGCCTGATAAGAAGGACTTGCACAGTCTGAGCAGCTGTTCCACTGCCATTCAGATTATGAAAATATAATCCTAGAGAACCTTGTCAAGATAAATACAGAGCATGAAATGTATAGGCAATTTTCCCCCAGCCACATATAATGATCAATTCCAAAGCCACAAGTGATACCAAAGGACAAAATAAGATCTGTCTAGACTTTCTCACTTACAAGATATTGATCATTCCAATGGTGAACTGGTTAGTATAAGTGTGTTTGGCTTGAAAGGTCATGAGCTTAACACCTGACAAGGAGTTATTCAACCTTGATATAAGTCAAATTATTGCAGTGTTGCTGGAAAGGCTTTCTCTAATAAAAATCCCTACCTGGTCTGAGAATATCTGAAATTTGTCTTACAGATGTCAAAAGAAAAAGCGGGGGGAAAAAAAAAAGTCGAGACTTGGCATGGGTTTCTGCTGGCTCACCTCTATCTGGTTTTGCAAGTAGAGGTCCCAGCAGTCAGTTACTTTCTGGGCAGACCATAGGCAACATCTGCTGCACGGACAGCAGTGGAAGCTGTCACTGATTGAAATGGCACCACCATTCCCCTAAGAGCTTCTGGTGGCTCTTCATTCCTAGCAAGGGAGTTTGTGCGCTCACCTATGTGGACTTGACAGACCCAGGGCACCCATACAGATAGGGGCAAAGCCCCACCATTAAAATGGGAAATGTTGACTTTGGAAGGAAAGCAGAGGGGAAAGGGTCGAGCAACGCCCTTCAGCATGTGGGTGGGAAATGCTCTGTGGCATCATCCTCCAATGCCTCCCCTTCAGAAAGTCCTGTGGGGCTTGAGCAGTGTATCAGAGACACAGTCCTTACCCAGCCTCCTCCTTTTTTATGGGGATAACTAGCAAGTGCTTATTAGGACAATTAGGAGCTTGATGTAAGTTTTCTGGATCTTTTCCAAGAACTATAAATACCCAATCTATTTTGCTTTATTCAGTTCTTTTTGTTTTGCTGATATGATACTAGTTAAGGTTAATGGGGTTTGCTTTAATATTAGACACAGGATCACTTAACTACCTTTAATGAACACTGGAGTCAATGCATTGTGGAGTAATTCACACAGACATTGCCTCAGGTAAATCAACCGGAAAAATGTAAGCCAGTCAAATAAATAAATCTGACCGGCTGTAAATGTGCCAAATTTTACACCAAAATATATTTGAAAGCCAATGACTTAGGCACATCTAGGATATTAAAATGGAGGGTTTGGAGTCTGTTGCTTTTCAATTGCTTTTCCTTTTTAATGCCCCCTGCACATCCCTCCTGTGCTGAAACCAAGCTGAGAGTGCAAGAAAAATTATTTTCACACGTGTTTCTAATAGAAGCAAATGCTCTGCAGCTTTGTGCCATTTTTTTATTTGGAATGAAAATGATGAAAAAAAAGCTTTTTTATGCTTGGCTCTCTCAACACATGACAGTGATCGACAAAGATGAGGACAGAGAGAGGGAGAGAAAAGAAGGAGAGAAAGAGAAAAAGAAAGAAAGAATGAAAGAAAGAAAGAAAGAAAGAACAAAAAAAGAAAAAGTAAGTAAGTAAGAAAGAAAAAGAGATCAAGACAGTAATTTTATCTTAGTTGGAGAAAATACTGACAGTGAAATTCTAGACAGGGTAATACACTAGTGTCAATAAATATTTATTAACCAGCAATAGGAACCAGGGGAACCTGACCAACTCAATGAAGTTAGAGGGGTAGCTTACTTCATACTAATGCAAAACTATGCTAACATTAAAAATGCTTTTACCTCGTAACACTGAAATAGTGAGCTGTGTACAGAGGAAAAACACCTCCCAGATATTCTTTGAAGGAAGGCAGGCAATCTCTTTAAGTACTGAATTCTCATAAAAGCATGCAATATTTCAGCAATAAGGAATTACAGGGTGTTCATTATCGGTTATTAATGTTCGCCTAAATGGAGCATAAGGTCCAGGCCTTTGGGGGAGTGCAGAGCTCCCAGCATTGCTTAATTACTGCTTCTTCTTAACCCAGCAATGCCAAGCTCTGATGCAAAGCTCTGCTGTCGTAGACCAGCTGTATTATTATATGAGAGTATTTCTGTTTGGCTGTGAAAAGGAAAAATAATGCATTTGAGAAGGCTGTTGCACAGGTGACAGAAGTTAATCAGTTTTTCTCCCCAGATAAACTCCAGACAATACAAGGAACTTGACTGTAACCATCACCTCAACTTGCAAACACTTAGACCCACACCACTACAGTTTTCAGACATTACACTATATCAGCATCTGGTACAGACTGGACAAAACTTCTAGGAGACAAAAAAAGAACTTTTTTTTCTGTATTTTTGTTTATTTGCTTATTTTTTTCCCAAAAAGGCTGAAAAGAGGTGTTGTTCTTTCTGGAACAGACTCTTTCATTTCTTTATTCCACCAAATGTTTCAGTGCAGGAGCAAGCTCATTAGGACGTGCTGGCCTTGGGGAAGGGGCTTGCTGCAGATAGTAGAGGAAGACACATGGGCAGGATTGCTTACTTACTGAAGGCTGTTGCTACACAGGTGGTGTAGCAGGTATAAGCAAGGCCACATATTCTTTGCTGCTGCTTTAGGAAAGACTGTGGAGTCAGGTAAGGAAGGGGCCAACAAGGGAGCGGCTGAGGCTGCACTTGGGCAGAAGCTTGAAGGACGCCAAGGGTTTCGGGGAAAAGAGAAAGCCCTCATTTTCTTTGTATAAAGCCAGCTCAGCTAATTCACTCTAGATCTGAGAGCAGTGGCTCCCAGGTTCCCCCTGTCCACTCAGAAGAAATTTAGTTTCACAGATACAGACTTTACTTGTAGACATTTCAACCCTTATGTGCATAGGAGGCTGAACACCACCTACCTGAGAAGAGATCACACTAAACTAGAATTAGCCATAAACTCAAAAAAATAGAGTAAAAAAAAAAATTGTAATATATGACTGTAAGGTATAGCCGTTACACTGCAATATTATAATTCCTTATATAAGAAGTGTGGTGGGTGTTTTCATGGAAGGATGCTATGGCTACTTCTGCCAGGTGAACGCGTGCCTTGACTTTAACACCTATTCAACAGCTAATCAAATGCATCATGATCACAGAAGGCAGACTGTTAGCAATAAATCATAAATAATAAGGGGGTCAAATAAGCTTCTATTAACAATATGACCTATTTATTTGTTTATATTCTGTCTACAGAAAATGTGATGCTGGACTGGGGATGGCTTAGGACAACCTTCTGGCATGAAGACAGCTACAAAGCACAAAATACAAAAAATGAACTCAGAAAGAAACAAGAAAAAAAACAGCGTTTTCTTGGCATCAACAAGAAGCTCTTTATTTTTCCTCAAGTTTTCTTTTCTAAAAAAAAAAAAAAAATTGGAACTAAGACATTTGCAGAAATGAGACAAACTTTCTCTTCAGGTGACAATATTCAAGCAAGCATGTTGTTTTATTGAACTTAAATTGAAAGAAAAAAAAAAAAGAGAGATTTGGAATGGGATACAGTATCAGGAGAACTGAGAAACTGTGAACTTTGAAAGAAAAAAAAAAAAACTCTTTAAAACTGTGAACTGAGAAATGGATGGAAATACCATTTAAAGCCCTGATTACACCCTGTGTGTTCTTAAGGAGACAACATCATCTTTGCTAACTCAACGGTATTTAGGGAATGGTTTACAACATATCTTTTATTATAATCTTTTAAGAAAAAAAATCAGAAATATTTAAGTAGCTGTGACTTTACCATTTCTGTTCAGACGTCTTCTTGCACCTTCTTTTTCTAGACAGCGCAGATACATTTGCAGCCAGCAGTCAAGGGCAGGAAAGATTTCTTTCCTCCATAATCTTTTTATTTGCCACACCCAATAAAATCCTTGTAGGTGGAAAAAGAATCAACACAACTACCACTTCCCCATCAATACCTAAAGCCTAACAGACAGTAATTATCAAAATAAAGAGGAAATCCCATATTGGGCTACGTACCTACCCATTAATCAAAACAACAGAAAATATCTGCAGCATTGCTTTTCTAAAATAAGACAAAAGATGCCTCCTTGGGTTACACTTTGAACAGGCTATAATCAAAAGAAAGAGAACCAAGACTAACTAAGCCCCAGGAAGCTGCATTGTCCCTTTAACCCACAGTATTCCCCATTTCCCATTAGTACTTAACATTTTTCACTATGTTGTGACTGCTATTATTTCATTTAACACTGGTTAATCTGTATCTGAGGTATATGGAAACCCTCTAGATGATAAGATTGGACAGGTTCCAGTGTTGGCAGTTTTTGAGCGTGCACACACTTGGTGTGTTTTGATCCTTCCAGGAGCTCCCTGTTATTTGGACTGCCTGCCAATTCGTTCTTGGATCAGCCTCTCACTCAGCTCCCACAGGGCTGCGGCCGTCGCTTCGCCCTGCGCCTCCTGCGACGGCAGGCAGCGGCAGCAGTTGTTGAAGTACATCCCTCCCAGGCCCTCCAGCTCCGCAGCTGTGGCGAGAAAAAACATATATAAATATATATATATAGCTATTTTATCATTGTAATTTTGATTGTGGTCCTTTGAAGCTGTGCGTCTTATGAAAGCATCGGTGAAAAGCATTGCAGCTGGCAGGGTAATCCGCCGGGTGACAAGGCTGAAACCCTGCTGAAGGTGCTGCCTGCCTGCTGGCCGCTTATTTACTAAAAACCTTAGTGAGGACTTTTTTGTTTTGTTTTGTTTTCTTTTCCTCTTAGAGCAAAAGAAAAGAAAAAGACAATCCCGAACCTCAGTCACAGTCTCAAGTCGTTGCCTCTTTTCAATAAAACCTTGGATCGGTGGCAGGGAGAGTCTGGGCTGACGCAGAGGGGCAGGGTCTGCCCAGGCGGTGTTTGAAACCAGAAAAGTTGAGCCAGGTTTAAAAGCAGCACCTCAAAAGTTCCTGGTTTCCCTTTGAAACACAGAAAACACCGTACACCTTGTGCACCTCAGCTTCGTAATCCTGACCAGCAACGCAGGCTGATCCATGTATGTATTTTGTTTGTTTGGGTTTTTAAACCTCTTGTACAAAATTAACCTGGGCACTCCAATTAAGACCTATCATGTAAAGTGCAATCGGGATTGGTGCCAAACCTGCCCATATATCTTTGATCAACAGTTTCACTGTGGCAGTTGTCACCGCTGCCCTGTAAGAATGTTTATCTGCTGCAGGCAGAGAGGGGTTCTGATTTTGCAGAGACGTGAGGCTTTCCAGTGAGTTTTTTTGTTCTGTAACAACCATTTCTCATGTCTTATCATGCTTTAAGAAATGGAGCAGGTAGATTAGAGGCTTTTGTGGATCAGAGTTTCTTTTTCTTTTAAATACCAAGTGAACTTATGTTCAAACAGGAAGAATGGGTTTCTCCGAATTTCTCTAACAGACACCTGGAGATTGAGGCCACAGAGGGGCCAAGCACCCCTGTGCCGGCTATGGGCTATTCCCTGGCACAGATTAAAAGTGCAGTGCCAGAATAGCTGTAAAGAGGACAAGAAGCTAGTTTGCTTTGTAGACTATAATTAAAAATAATAGGTGAGAGCACATAGCAAGACACAACACTAATTTAAAACCGATACAGTTTATCTGGCATCTTATAATTATTTATGTACATCTTAGTCCTTTCTGCGGTAAACTAATTATGAGCTGATAGGAATCAGAATAAAGAGGCTGCCAAGTATGATTGAAAAAGTAAACGAAGAGAAATTAGATGTTGCCACATTAGGATAATTTAATGGGGAAAGAGAATAGGCTTCAATCTCTTGTGATTTTCCTCCAGTTCTTTTTTTCTGGCCTTTCATTGTCACAACCAAGCAAACTCAGGGTGCTGTTAGGGGGTCAACCTGCAAGAGACCTCTACTTTACATTCTCATCCTTCAAGGGCAGCAAGAAGTCTAAAAAGCCCCAGTTCTCCTTAAATGAGGTGTCTCAATTTTGTAACTGCAAAGAAAGGCGTATTTGCTTTCAAGACATGCATTTTTCTCAGAAGATGGAATTAAACTGGTAATGATGACTCCACAGCTTAGAATCTCCCATCACAAGGTAAACCAAAACTGTCTGTATTAAGTATTTTGAAAGGCATATATTTATCAACAGACAAAAATATTTTTAAAGTTAGTATAATACATCATAGTCCTCTTATTAAACCAATATCTTTTTTAAAAAAGAGAAAGTATCTTAAAGGCAGTAGCAGAAATGGAAGAGAGTTCTACTGAAAATAATATTAATAGAGAACAATAAAATTCCTATGCTCATTTGAACTATCCTATAAAGCTCCACAGCACAGGTATGATCACCATATTCAGCTGTTTAGAATGATTCAAAGCCCCTAAGGAGTATTATTAGTTTTTTGCAAGCAATTCAACTGGACTTTTATTAGAAAGGTAAAATTAAACTAAATTGCTCAATGCAGAGTAAGAGCCCTTAAGCTATTGCTGAAAAGCATCCGTCCAGCCAAGCTAAACTCAGGCTAGCCCTAATAGAATTAATCTAATTCATAAAATGGAAGTTTATCAGAGCAGTTTAAAATCCAAACCAAACAATAATTTATCTTTCCAAATGAGTCAAATTTGACGACTTTTAAACAAAATTCTCAGCAGGCTGAAAAGTGTCCCACAGTACAACAGCAGTGCTTTATACTTTGAACACTGACGCAACCTAGACTCCAAAAGAAGAGAATAGTTTTCCCTGTGTGAGCGTAGGATATTTACTTTAAGTGATAAAAGACTATGTGGCTGGAAGCCCAAAGCACTTTATCTTGTGATGCCTCCAGTGTTTCACTGAGAACTGGATGTAAGCAATGTGCCATTTGCTTTTTGGCTGTGTATATCTTTAGTTTTTTTCTAAATGTTTCAATCGTGTTGGCTGTTTTGGAAAAAGAAAGTTCAATGGTTCTATCATTGAAAAAAAAGTACCTTTCTTATTACTTAAGAGAAATGCAGTCATATTTATCCCTTCATTGACAGAGGGTAAAGCTTTAATATCTCAGAATAATGGACAAAGATGAACTCATCAAGCCTAGGAGGTTCCTTCAGATGGCAAAACTACGAAATAGAAGGTAAATCCCAGATTCTCAAAGCATCTGATTTCCTTTGGTGAATGTGAGCTAGTTGCATTCAGACATTTGAGGATCTAAGTGACTTGCCCAAGGACAGAGGGAAATGAGTATCACATAATCACAGGAATCAAATCACACTTTGGCTTAGGAGGGTCGTCAGGTCTCTAGCCCAACCTGCTGCCCAAAGCGTGATGCCTAGGAGCCCTGTATATGCCATGCTCGACAGGAAGGTCCTCAAGGGACAAATTCCTCCTTTTCATCTACGACTCAGATACCACAAGCCTCCGGGAAGAGCCATAGCTGCAGATAACTGCAAAATGCCTGCACTGCCAGCCATGCCTAGCCAGGCCGAGAAACCGCTTAGTTTCTCAGTAAATATTGTTTATCCCTCATGAACACTGTCTTTTGAGTGACATCTTTATATGTTGGGCCTTATGACAGTTTAATAGCAAGTTTTAATTTTTTGCTCATCAGCTTTCCTGTTCACATATCATCAGCATACGACAGCAGAGGATGTTAGGGAATCTAATTAGTAAACAATTCCATACTGCTGATACAAGATGAAACATTCTTAAACCGATAAAAAGAGCACTTTAATCACTGTTGAATGACTTTCAATGCCAAGCGGTTTGTGCCATGTCAGAACATAATTTGAAGAAGATTAGAGTACTATATAAAAGAATTAATGTTAACAACTTCGTTAAAAAATGTCTTAAACAATGAGCTTGTCAGTTGTCACAGAACCCCCCCCCCCGCCCCCAACAATTTAAACTGATAAACAATGCTAAAAGCGCTGGGCAACCTAAACATTTTTTTTTTCCATACGTCCGTCAGTTGTACAGGGTGCTAATCACCAGAGCTGGGGGTCAGCCTTCTTTAACCTGCAACAAAGGCAGCGGGTTGCAATGATGAATACACAGGATAAAGAATTTGTGAGAAGCCCAACTGAATCTTTAATCATGCCTCAATGCCATTTCCGATCCAGTCAAACATTTGAAAGCTGCTAGGCAAGCACCACGCTATCAATCTTTCTAGCGTACGTAAAATTACCCGGGAATCTTGTTTTGGATTAAGTTGAAGAGTGTCTTAGTAATAAGGGTTCATCATTCTCTTCTGCAAATCATTTGTCAGTTTTGTAATACAATCTTCAACTGCAGCAGGGTGGGATTTATACAGCAGTTGCTGTTTATTTATAGTTGAGGCTCAAAGATCTAAATTATCCATCCTTCCAAAATCCTTTGTTGAGATGAAAATACTAAGTAGCTACTAGTTTATACGCATTTATTTCATAACTGCTAGCTGTCGATTTGTAACTGATGGCACTGAATACAAATTAATATTGAATATCTTAACAGTACAAGAAAAGGGGTTCTTGATATACAGTATACGGTAAAACCCTCATTAATATATGCAATGCATCCATTAGTATTCTAAGATACCATTTATGTTCCCGATAAGAAAACATATTACACAGTTAATGTTTAGTTTTCAGATTTGTCTACTTTCAAATGCATGTTTATTTTCTAAAATTAGATTCCTGTTCTGAAGCAAGTTTGCATATCAAGCATATAAATAATAGAAACAATGCCATAACTTATCTGTATACTTATCAACTACAAATGAATAAGATCCCCTCTGAACTCTGTTAAGGGCATGCAGATAGCATTAAACATTGCCTGCCAGTGAGATGGGATCAGCTTCTTTCAAAAGATTTTTATTTTCTTATGAAAAATTAAGAATAAAGGTCAGTTATCTTGGTAGCCTGAGGTTTAGTTTAGCACAGTGCATTTTAAAAGATGGCCAGGGGGAAGAGGTGAATTCGAAACGACATGAGAGGCGAGTATTTGTGACAAGGGCCAGATTCAAAGCAAGCAGCTCAAGTGAAATAAAAAGGCAAGTGCTTCCTTACAAGTCTTCAGGCTTTTCCTGTTATTCACCTCAGGACTATTAGACAAAGCCAACACATCCCCAACACAAAAATATCAGATCCACACAACACCACTGTGAACATACCATTTATAGCGGAATAACATTACACAGCAATGTGAAGATGAGGTAGTAGGAACATATTCCAGATCATGAAACCAGTGGGGTCTCCCATACCTTCTTTGTGTCTCTGTAATGGACACCAAAGGGTTCAAATCCATTCTGGTAGAGAGGGAAAAGCTCTTCACCAGCTAGCTTCAGCAATAGTCATTTCCTGATTTGATATGAAATATAAAGTCTCCTTGGAATAACAAACAAAATGATATGGAGCCTACTTCCACAATGATCAGTTCCAAATTGCCCAAACCAAACTCCAAAGTTACAGCTGCAGTTTTATATTCCTCGAGCCCCATCTTCACCTGGTGTAAATCCATTGCCTTCTCTGAGGCCCCGCACATTTGCGGTTGCTGAGGATCTGCTCCATTGCTCGTTGC